TGAAGTTCACCATCTGGCTCCACCACGGACTGAAGTTCATCATCTGGCTCCACCAAGGACTGAGTTCACCATCTGGCTCCACCAAGGACTGAAGTTCACCATCTGGCTCCACCAAGGACTGAAGTTCACCATCTGGCTCCACCACGTTCTGCAGTCCCTCCTCTGAAGTGAGGATGGTGAACTCCCATCTAAACATGGGAACCAATGACTGACATCTACATGACTTCAGTCACAGAGGAAGGAGATTCCCGTCCTAGTGGGAGGCACCGGCGGTCCGTTCTGATCCTAAGTGCCCTAAGTGGAGACAACCCGAATTCACTGTGACGGATGCATGATGTTAGCAACCGCCGGACGGGCAATACGTGGCCAAGAGCTAGAGTGCGGGACCACATGGCATCTAGCCACGCTTCTAGCCCGACGACGGTCACATCTAGCCTTCGTTTCTTATGCAGGCGTCACCTAGGGATAGTTACCTATGCAGACGTCACCTAGGAATAGTTACCTATGCAGGCGCCGTTTCCTGTGCAGGTGTTTACAAGGTCTTTCACACAGGTGTCACCTAGAGTATTTTGTCTTCGAATCAAGCTTCGAAGTAATGTTAAGATAGTCTTCGGCCCATCACAATATCAGCTCTGTGCCTACCTCACTATTACTCGTAAGTTTACCGCTATATTAACCATTATTTACAGCAATTTCTACCGCAAATTGTCTTCAGTAAACCAATAACAAAATATACTTAAGGTAATTATCAGAAAGCACTCAGCCATTACGACTATATGGCACAAGGTAATGATAAGATTTAAAATAGGGAGGAGGAAAGAAATGGCGCCCTACCACTAGGGTGGTCGGGGATTGAACGCCGACCTGCATGAAGCGAGACCGTCGAGCCTTAGTGTTTGGGCTAGAGGATGGGGAAGGGGCTGAGGAGGAGAGAGCGGATGTTGTGGGAGAGGGAAGGAGAGATGAGAGAGAGGGTGGAGAGGGGGGGGGGGGAGAGAGAATGGGGAGATAGGGAAGATATGGGGAGGGAGGGAAAGAGTCCCGGGCGCAGCTTGGTACGACATATACTGTATGCGTACTCACCTAGTTGTGGTTGTGGGGGTTGAGCTTCGGCTCTTTGGTCCCGCCTCTCAACTGGCAATCAACTGGTGTGCAGATTCCTGAGCCTAATGGGCTCTATCATATCGACACTTGAAACTGTGTATGGAGTCAGCCTCCACCACATCACTGCCTAGTGTTTTCCATTTACTAAGTACTCTGACACTGAAAACGTTCTTTCTAATGTCCCTGTGGTTCATTTGGGTACTCAGCTTTCACCTTTGTCCCCTTGTGCGTGTACCACCCGTGTTAAATAATTTGTCCTTGTCTAGCCTGTTAATTCCCCTGAGAATTTTGTATGTGGTGATCATGTCTTCCCGAGCTCCTATGTCTTCCAGTGACGTGAGGTGCTGTTCAATCAGCTTATCCTCGTAATTCATGCCTCTTAGTTCTGGGACCAGCCTAGTGGTATACCTCTGAACTTTTTCCAGCTTCGCCTTGTGCTTGAGAAGTTACGGGCTCCATGCTGGGGCCGCATACTCCAGGATTGGTCTTATATATGTGGTATACAAGGTTCTGAATGATTCCTTACACAGGTTTCTAAAGGCTGTTCTGACGTTAGCCAACCTTGCCTAGGCTGCCGATGTTATTCTTTTGATGTGGGCTTCAGGAGACAAGTTTGGTGTGATATCAACTAGATTGTGCATATATAGTGTATATATAGTACATATATATAGTACTCTCTCCGTTTTATGGTGCTACATAGCCTTCCCGGCTTGGTGCTTTCTTTGATAATTACTTACTTACTCTGTCCGTTTCGTGAACGACTTCATCTCTCATTCGGTATCCAGTGTCCGGCCTCCTATTTCCTCCACCTAGTTTCATTACCTTACATTCACTTGGGTTGAATTTTAGTAGCCATTCCTTCAGTTTGATCCATTTAGTTGGACCATTCCTTCAGTTTGTATAGGTTATCTTGTAGCTTCATGCTATCTTCATCTGTGTTAATCTTATAGCAATTATCCTCCTCATAATTTTTGCATCATCAGCACACATTGAAAGGAAAGAGTCTATTCCCTCTGGAAGATCATTTACATATATCAGAAACAGTATAGGTCCAAGGACTGATTCCTGTGGGACTCCACTGATGACGCCTCGCCACTCCGAGACCTCACTCCTCGCAGTGACTCGCTGTCTTCTGTTGCTTAGGTACTCCCTCATCCAGTGGAGTATCTTCCATTTCACTCCTGCCTGCATCTCCAGCTTGTGCACTAGTCTCTTATCTGGTACTGTGTCAAAGGCTTTCTGGCAATTAAAAAATATGCAGTCTGCCCACCCCTTCTTTTTTTGACTGATTTTTTGCTGCCTGATCGTAGAATTTAATTAATTATGTGAGGCAGGACTTGCCATCCTGAACTCATGCTGATGTTCTGTAACAAAGTTCTTTCGCTTCCTATGTTCCACCATAAGCTTTTTTTTTTAGCTTTTTTCGTGTGTGTGTGTGTGTGTGTGTGTGTGTGTGTGTGTGTGTGTGTGTGTGTGTGTGTGTTGTGTGTGTGTGTGTGTGTGTGTGTGTGTCGCTGATGTTATCCGCTTGATATGTGCTGCAGGAGACAGGTCTGGCGTGATATCAACCCCCAAGTCTTTTTCCTTCTCTGACTCCTGAAGAATTTCCTCTCCCAGATGATACCTTGTATCTGGCCTCCTGCTCCCTACACCTATCTTCATTACATTACATTTGGTTGGGTTAAACTCTAACAACCATTTGTTCGACCATTCCTTCAGCTTGTCTAGGTCTTCTTGAAGCCTCAAACAGTCCTCTTCTGTTTTAATCCTTCTCATAATTTTAGCATCGTCCGCAAACATTGAGAGAAATGAATCGATACCCTCCGGGAGATCATTTACATATATCAGAAACAAGATAGGACCGAGTACAGAGCCCTGTGGGACTCCACTGGTGACTTCACGCCAATCGGAGGTCTCACCCCTCACCGTAACTCTCTGCTTCCTATTGCTTAGATACTCCCTTATCCACTGGAGCACCTTACCGGCTACACCTGCCTGTCTCTCCAGCTTATGTACCAGCCTCTTATGCGGTACTGTGTCAAAGGCTTTCCGACAATCCAAGAAAATGCAGTCCGCCCAGCCCTCTCTTTCTTGCTTAATCTGTGTCACCTGATCGTAGAATTCTATCAAGCCTGTAAGGCAAGATTTACCCTCCCTGAATCCATGTTGGCGATTTGTCACGAAGTCCCTTCTCTCCAGATGTGTTACCAGGTTTTTTCTCACGATCTTCTCCATCACCTTGCATGGTATACAAGTCAAGGACACTGGCCTGTAGTTCAGTGCCTCTTGTCTGTCGCCCTTTTTGTATATTGGGACCACATTCGCCGTCTTCCATATTTCTGGTAGGTCTCCCGTCTCTAGTGACTTACTATACACTATGGAGAGTGGCAGGCAAAGTGCCTCTGCACACTCTTTCAGTACCCATGGTGAGATCCCATCTGGACCAACAGCCTTTCTAACATCCAGATCCAGCAGGTGTCTCTTGACCTCCTCTCTCGTAATTTCGAACTCCCTCCAAGGCCGCCTGGTTTACCTCCCTTTCTCCTAGCACAGTGACCTCACCCTGTTCTATTGTGAAGACCTCCTGGAACCTCTTGTTGAGTTCCTCACACACCTCTCTGTCATTCTCTGTATACCTGTCCTCGCCTGTTCTAAGTTTCAATACCTGTTCTTTCACTGTTGTTTTCCTTCTGATGTGACTGTGGAGTAGCTTTGGTTCGGTCTTGGCTTTGTTTGCTATATCATTTTCAAAATTTTTCTCTGCTTCTCTTCTCACCCTGACGTACTCATTCCTGGTTCTCTGGTATCTCTCTCTGCTTTCTGGTGTTCTGTTATTCCGGAAGTTCCTCCACGCCTTTTTGTTCAGTTTCTTCGCTTCCATACATGCCCTATTATACCATGGATTCTTCTGTTGCTTCTCGGATTTTTCCCTTTGGGCCGGGATGAACCTGTTTACTGCCTCCTGACACTTTTGGGTAACATAGTCCATCATACCCTGTACAGACTTGTCTCTGAGGTCTGTGTCCCAAGGTATTTCACTTAGGAAAATTCTCATCTGTTCATAATTCCCCTTTCGGTATGCCAGCCTTTTGATTCCTAGTTCTTTTTGGGGGGAGATAAGTCCTAGCTCTACCAGGTACTCAAAGTTCAATACACTGTGGTCACTCATTCCCAAGGGCGCTTCCATCTTAACTTCCCTTATATCCCATTCATTTAGGGTAAATATCAAATCAAGCATTGCTGGTTCATCTTCTCCTCTCATTCTTGTTGGTTCTTTGCATCATCAGCACACATTGAAAGGAAAGAGTCTATTCCCTCTGGAAGATCATTTACATATATCAGAAACAGTATAGGTCCAAGGACTGATTCCTGTGGGACTCCACTGATGACGCCTCGCCACTCCGTGTGTGTGTGTGTGTGTGTGCGTGTGTGAAAGGAATCATTAGTAACATCACAGTTTATTAATACTTATATATATTTATAACAATTTTGAGAACTCATATTTACATTATCCGAAAAGATGTGGCAAGCAATAGCCCCAAGACCTACGGGGAGACCTGACCTGACTGTGATCAGATTTCGTTTGTAAATATGGCAGAGCTGCCATGATCACATGCATACGTAGCCCTGAGGTTAGGTTAGGATTGGGTTGGGTTTAGGTGGACTTTATTGATTTAGGTTAGGTTAGGATAGAATAAGTGTGGTAAGGTTTGATTTGGTTAGGCTAGGTTAGGTTATTTTAGGGTACGTTTGTTATTCTTAGGGTAAGTTAGGCTAGGTTAGGGTTGTTTATGTTACGTTCCCCCTTACCTTTAACTAACAAGTGAGCTGAGGTTAGATGTTAGATCACTGTATATTTAACAATAAGAAAGCAGTTGAAGGGTGTTTAGGATCTGCTACTGGTAGTAGCCCTTCTGTGACCCGCTACCTTGACCGGAACCGCTGGGGTACTGGGCATCGCCCTCGAAGGTGACGGTGGGGTGGTAACCGAACTGATCAACGAAGTATTCAACCTTCAGTTGACGACTGTCAGGCAGCTGGACATAGTAACTGTGGTAGAGACAAGAGGATTAGCGAGTTATGAGGTCATTTAGTATGTATAACATGTTACGAAAAGTTAATGTTAACTTTTGTTATTTAAAAAACTATATTTGGTCAACAGAGTAATGTGTTTGTATTGGCTGGCAAGTGACCAGGTCACTTGTAATGTCTAAATGCTTTTTTTTTTTATTAAAGTAAACGGAATATTCCTAAGAATATTTTCCTTCCTTAGTACAACAGCTGAATGTGTATTAAGACCCTCTTCTGGCAGATAAATATGAAATATACTAAGCGTTTCATTCCTTAGAGATAAATTGTGTGGTATTGTTTGGCTCAAAGCCACAGAGCGCTTTGTGCTCATTCTATCCCTCTATCTCTATCTATCCCTCCCTCTATCTCATTCTATCCCTCCGTGACCGTAGACTCACCTGCCCTGGGTGTTGTCTCCGTCCCTCTGCTCTCCGTGACCGTAGAAGTTGCCTGATGGCTGGTCGTTGACGTCCCACTGGAAGTTGTACCTGGCGGGGGCGGCGCCGTACTGGCCTCCCTGTCCTCCATATCGTGCGGGTGCTGAGGAGAACTGGCCGCCTTGTCCACCGGATATTTGCCCACCCGATCCCTGCCCGTCGGGTCCTTGCCCACCGTAGCCCCCCTCGGGAAGTGCAGAAGCAGCTGCCACCACCGACAGCAACAGCACTAGTGTCTAGAAAACAAAATAATCCAGTAAGATACATCACTGACGTCTACTACGAGACATCCTGAAGCTACTATTGGTGCTTTGAACGCTCTCCACGGTACATGAACCAGAAATGCTGAGTGATGCAACCTGGTGACTGCCCGTCACTCCACGTGGGTTACTAATATTCAGGTATTACTGTTTATCGTGCCTTGAACTGTTGCTTTTACATCCTTAGATCAATATCATTGAATTGACGGACGAATCTTTTGATCTCCGAGTTGCTTTTACAGGAATATATATAAACGTATCTCTTGTACTCTTCTGGGCCAGGATACACAGACAAGCATACCTTCATGGTTGTATCGCTTGCGGAGGTGTGGGCTCAACTGGCGTCCATCCAGGGGCTCTGGGCTTTATAAGACTGATCAACACGGAGACCTGAGGGCGGGGCTCTCGTCTCCATCCTGTGATGGGCTCACTATCACTCGTATTGACTTCATGAGGTGCCAAGTGCTCATACGTTCAAAACCACGAGTTTTGGCATGACTTGTTACTTCACAGAACCTTCACACATAGAAACGTTTTCGAAATGCATCTGAGCTTTGAAGATATATTCTGTATTTTTTATAATTCCCATGTACCATATAACCACTCAATGGGTGGTATTGCACTATATGTCCATCATGGGGTTGATAGTTCACTCAATACCCATTCCACGGCTGGTAGTTGAAGGGTCTTTGATACATCATGGGATAACGTTAACAATCACAATGTTGGTTTAAGAAAAATTGTTATAATAAACTAGAGCTGACTGGACATATGGCATATTGCACACTTTATCTTCTGTCGTGAACTCGTGGAAGATGATTTTTAGTCAGACTTTTCGTGTTTCGTCACCTAAATTTATAATTTATCCAGTGAGTGTGTGAAAAGATTTTGACTTTAGAAAACTGAAACCCAGTCTCCTGTTACTTAACAAACCCCATGGTAGTTAATGTGAAGACACAGTTACCAGAACTTCAGCTTGAACTGTGTGACCTGCAGACTGACCCATTGCTGCTTGCAAAGAAAATTGGAAATCAGAAGAGTTTCTGGAAGTTAGTCTGTAGACTCTACAGACTAACATCTATCCTCTACAGTGTAGAGGATAGATGCTCCAGGCTAAGAGACTGTGCACTAAACCTGCACTCATATGTACATAATGTGAATATAAGTTTTTTTTACCATGAAGAAATTAAAATCTAAACCCCATAAATCAGCTGGGAATGAAACACTGGACGCGGAGCGTCTTCGACTCACCACCCAACCCGTCCTTGGACCAAGTCCATTCCATCCAGCGGTCGACCCCAAAGACGCATTCAGCAATTATAACATGCTGTTCATTCAAAACAGGAATTTTATTAAATATAAATTAATATTATTATATATTATCATATTGTACATATTTGGGCACTTGTCAGGTTAGGTGTTTAGGTTCTGTTAGTGTGTATTTGTAGTACGTGGGTGAAGCATTGTTGCTTAATAAACAACGAAGCAATCTGCCTTGTTACAATGATCGCTTAAATTCTAGAGCCACAGACCAACCAGAGCCTTGGCAGCGAGCAAGAACAGTGCCGATAACACTGTTGAGGAGAGACATTATGCCTGGGAAAACAATGAAAGTGTTTTCCCAGGTATAGACAGTGAAAGACACCGTTTCAGTGAATAACAAACGTTCTTCACCAACAATGTTTTGAAACTCTTAAAGTATTTCAGCTTAGCGTTGATGATCTTCCTGCCTGATCTGGCAGCACGAGATGCTGCTGATCTGGCAGCACGAGATGCTGCTGATCTGGCGGCACGAGATGCTGCTGATCTGGCGGCACGAGATGCTGCTGATCTGGCAGCACGAGATGCTGCTGATCTGGCGGCACGAGATGCTGCTGATCTGGCAGCACGAGATGCTGCTGATCTGGCGGCACGAGATGCTGCTGATCTGGCAGCACGAGATGCTGCTGATCTGGCGGCAGATAGAGCAGATTCTTGGCCCAGAATGTCCCGCGTCACTCCCTCCGTGTCTTATCTCACCTTCGTGTATTGACAACGAGAATTTTGGTGCCGAGATTGAAACGCGGACGCCAACTCTCCCATGAGTTGGAGTATCGAGGCTTCACATGCAACTAAACGACCAAAAATAATGAAGCCTTGTAGAGTCAAGGAAATGATGATACTCATAAGTTGTGTGTGTGTCGTCTCTCTTCATAGTTATTAATCGCTGTTAGATTTAAACTACAAAATTTTAATAACATGTTCGGGATTTTATAACTTTGGTTCATGACATGAGTACTTTATTAAAAATCCCAAAATGTTTACTTCCAATACCAATCGAAAGTATTTTGTTCCGTTCTTGACTCGTCAACATTATGTGAAAGTCTGCCTGCCGTGCACACGACCGCACGCACGCAAGCGCACGCAAGCACGCCATGGGATCTAGCTTGCGCTTTGGCACCTTGCTTATGACGGTGCCACTTCCAGGTTGTTATTGGTGTTGTTCAAGAGTCAGCTACTGGGAACAAAAAAGTTGCAAGTAGCACGGGCTATGGTGAGCCCGTAGTGGACTTAAGGGCACAGGAGCGGGGCCTTAACTAAACTCAGGATTTACCTGAGTTTACCTGAGAGCCACTAACACTAGTAGCCTCGCCGAGGACAGGAAGCCGGCAGCTTGTCCAAGGTCCCCTCATTTACCTTGATCTTCCCCCAGCTAGATTTTAAAAATTAACAGAGTTTTGGAATTTACGGCTTCGGCAGGTAGGCGGTTCCATGGGATAATAACCCTGAGGGTGAAAAAGCAACACTACAGCAAACCCTGTCATGCCAGTACTGGAATGATTTTTATTGCTCGGTGTTGCACTTTCTCCACAGCAGCTATATCTATCTGAAGAGATGGTCTCCGTGCATGGATACAGTAATCCAAATGGGCACGCACCAGATATTTATACAATGGAATCACTACCTTCTTTTCCTTAAAGTCAAAGGTACGCTAGATTATTCCAAGTGTTTGGTTAGCTTATTTGACTGCTGCCCCAACCTGTTGTGCAACTTTCAGTGAGTGGTGGATTTTGACTCCAAGGACCTTTTCTTTATCAATCTATCGTAATGTGATGTTATTAATTTGGTAGTTGTGACGCGGGTTGTTGTGCCCACATGCAAGGTCTTGCATTTGTCAATATTAAAAAGCATTTGCCGGTCTTCTGACCATTTGTGGAGTTCATGTAGATCTCTTTGTAAGGCTTCAACAGCATTGTCATGTCCCACTTTACCATAGATCTTCGTGTCATCTGCAAATTTGATGTTGTGGTTCATAATATTCTCATCTATGTCATTGATGTATGTGACATTGATGAATATTTTCGGATGGTGACAGACCAATACTCCTCGATAGTGGGCGAGACAGGGAAGGGAGAGGTGAGAGGTCGCTAATGGTGCAGAAGTACTTCCTAATGGCGCAGAAGTACTTCCTAATGGCGCAGAAGTACTTCCTAATGGCGCAGAAGTACTTCCTAATGGCGCAGAAGTACTTCCTAATGGCGCAGAAGTACTTCCTAATGGCGCAGAAGTACTTCCTAATGGCGCAGAAGTACTTCCTAATGGCGCAGAGTGGATGACGTCTAGGGGGCGCAGGAGGCGTAGTCACTCAGGAAGGAGAGGATAGAAGCCCGGAATAGCAGGATGGAGGAGTCTTAGAGATGCTGACCAGGTTGAGAGATGTTCAGAGGAGAAGTCAATGCGAGGGGATGGGGAGGCTTGGAGACTCAGTAGGACTTAGAGGCTCGGAAAGAGGTGTGGAGGGCTTGGGTGATGAATAGGGGAAAGGGACGAGGGGAGTGGGGGGCAGACGTGGAGGAATGCCTAATCTAAGGAAAGTGCGTGCATGCGTGTCTGCTGATCTGTCTATTTGTGGTTTCAGAAGCTTGAGCTGTCTGGCTCTGCCTGTTGACGGAGAAACTGTCTTGAACTTATCACATCCATTAATGCATTTAAAGGTAATTATCCTGTCTTCTGTGTTGTGTTTTGATACAGTTTTCAGCTCTAATTCCTGAAGCCTTCTTTCCAGGACGGCCTGAAACGTCGTCACTTTCATTCCATGTTCGTGAATTAGCTTCTGAAATTAATTATTTCAAGTATCAATTTCGAAGAATATATCTATACTAGTTTGAATATATCTATACTACTAGCCTATTTAATGCCTGTCCCTACCTGTCCTCATCATAACTGGCAAACCCCTCACAGTGTTCAAGAGAGAACTGGATAAGCACCTCCTAAGGATACCTGATCAACCAGGCTGTGACTCATACGTCAGGCTGCGAGCAGCCGCGTCTAACAGCCTGGTTGATCAGTCCAGCAACCAGGAGGCCTGGTCGACGACCGGGCCGCGGGGACACTAAGCCCCGGAAGCACCTCAAGGTAGCCTCAAGGTAGGTAAGGTATCACAATCGACTTGAGAATGGTCCAGGACGGACCGAAACGTCGTCGTCCCTTCACCTTCTAGTGTATGGTCTGGTCAACATACTTCAGCCACGTTATTGTGACTCATCGCCTGCATATCTATACTATTCAATCTTGTTTTTTTTTCAATTGACGAAGGCGCTTGCACCACGGGTCATTATTCCTGCGTCTCATGGCGAACGGCAGGAAAATATATTTCAATATATTTTCATCTCTGTGATTGAATGTCAGTCTAAAGTAACAATCAATAGAAGGCGTCAGGCCTGGAAGGCTATGTAACGTCCTGTGCAACATAGTATCTAATAATGATTATGTGCAACTCTAACATTGCACAGCAGCTCTGGCCTGTCGTGAATATGATTCTGTGGTAGAGGTTTGATGTTCATAGTTTGTTCCAACTTGTCATCTAATGGTCCCCACGTAGTGATCTAATTGTTCCAACTTGTTACTTAACTACTCCAACCTGTCACCTAATTGTCATAATTATTCTCATAATATTTAATATTCAACCCCCTTCCTTACCATTCACCACTTTTCTTACCATTCACCACCTTGTTTACCCTTCACTATCTTCTTTACCTTTTACCACCTTTTTACCCTTCACTCCCTTACCCTTCACCACTTTCCTTGCTTCCTCCCGTCCTGTCCAAAATCCTCATCCTGACCCCTTCCTAGTGCTATAAAGTCGTAATGGATACCCATCACCTTACCCTTCACCACCTTCCCTACCCTTCACCACCTTCCCTACCCTTCACCACCTCCCTTACCCTTCACCACCTTCCCTACCCTTCACCACCTTCCCTACCCTTCACCACCTCCCTTACCCTTCACCACCTTCCTTACCCTCTACAAACTAACAGTTAATCATCATGTACAAATAATACGCTCGATGAACCTTAGTGAAGATAAAATATAATATTTAGTGAGATTGGAACTTAGTATTTTTTCCTATTTCATGCAAACACAGAGGCCGACCACGACCCGCGTATGGCCATCTCCGAGAAACCTTAAATCAGCGTTGAAAGCTTGGTGAAGCTTGGTGAAGCTTGGTGAATCTTGGTGAATCTTGGTGAAGCTTGGTGAATCTTGGTGAATCTTGGTGAAGCTTGGTGAAACTTGGTGAAGCTTGGTGAATCTTGGTGAAGCTTGGTGAAACTTGGTGAATCTTGGTGAAGCTTGGTGAATCTTGGTGAATCTTGGTAAATCTTGGTGAATCTTGGTTAATCTTGGTGAAGCTTGGTGAATCTTGGCGAAACTTGGTGAATCTTGGTGAATCTTGGTGAAGCTTGGTGAAACTTGGTGAAGCTTGGTGAATCTTGGTGAATCTTGGTAAATCTTGGTGAATCTTGGTGAATCTTGGTGAATCTTGGTGAATCTTGGTAAATCTTGGTGAATCTTGGTGAAGCTTGGTGAATCTTGGCGAAACTTGGTGAAGTTTGGTGAAACTGGCTCCTAGTGTCTAGCCCACATCCTCAAACAGATTGATCGATGAAGATTAAGCCACCCAAGAGGTGGCACGGGCATGAATAGCCCGTACATCCTCGAACAGACACAGAGACATTCTATTATCGATATAGATGATCGTGAACACTCATCTTTCTTTCTTTAACCCTTATCGTCTATGTCAATGATTCCTTCTTCATTCCACACTAACACCAGATTCAGGATCAAAGCATTGCTTGGTAATTAGCTTCGTTTGGGTATCCTGTTCACCTAGCAGGAAATAAGTACCTGGGAGTTAGACAGTTGCTACGGGCAGCTTCCTGAGGGTGTATAACAAAAAGGAGACCTGGTTGAGAACCGGGCCGAGGTGACGCTAAGCCCCGAAATCAGCTCAAGATAACTATCATCTTCACTTGTTGCTTCGAACAGAGTTTAAGAATCAGATCAAAGCACCTATACCTCCCGTGCTTTCTCTCAAGCCTCTAATTCTGTCTAATTTATATATTTGGGGTTGAAGTCCCTCATTATAAGAGTTTCCATCCTTTCTGCCAGCTGCGGCTATTATTTTAATACCTTGTAACTTTCCCTCTGTGTTTCACTCCATATTTTGTTTAAGGGATTTGTGTGTAGAAATTAATATATTTGCTTGATCTGACACCTTTGGTTCCTATCAAAATTCAGAAATTGTTAATGTACTTGAAAGTTAAAGGTGTATAATGTAAGTATTTTTCATTATTCCGGTGGTATGAAACTTCTTACTTATTTCCACAGTAGCCTATTTTTCCTTATTCTCTGTCTATCTGTCTGTCTGTCTGTCTCTCTGTCTGTCTGTCTCTGTCTCTCTCTCTCTCTCTCTCTCTCTCTCTCTCTCTCTCTCTCTCTCTCTCTCTCTCTCTCTCTCTCTCTCTCTCTCTCTCTCTCTCTCTCTCTCTCTCTCTCTCTCTCTCTCTCTCTCTCTCTCTCTCTCTCTCTCTCACGTTTGAGAAAGTCTCCTCAATGTTCCCATTAAATCATTAATCTCATTAATGTTTTGGAACTGAATGATCCCATTTATATTTGAACACCGCTTTGACGGTGTTCAACTCTAATTCCACATCCTCTGTGTTGAGAACACCGCTTTGAGAACACTGTTCTAAGACCCTAATATTCTTAGCCTCCAAGGAAAAGAAGTTACATATCTTGGGCCATTGTCTCGTTGTTTATTTAGCACCTTTGGTTTCTGTACAAGCATCTGATTGGGAGAAAACAAATTAATCTTCCAACTATTCATTAAATTCTTTAGAACTTTTCCATGTTTAGTTTCTAGACAATACATCTTCCTTGGTTCCTATTGCTCTCAATTAACATGATTTTGAACTCTACTTGTTTGTTACTGTTCCTTATTTCATTAGTATCTCATCAATAATTTTGAATACGTTTCAGACGCCCTCCAAACCTTATATACATTCTTCAAAAAATGGTTATTAACAATGGCGATAATCTAAGAAAATGTAAGATTCACAATCTTTGTTAAAATGAGCACCGTCGGGGCTTCACAGCGGCCGGTGGGAGATGATTATTCTCCCTTATGATTATAAGGGAGAATAATCCTTATGATTATGATTATTATGATTAATACTCCCATTATATCACTCCCTTATGATTATTGCCAAATGATTATTCCTGGCTTTCCACCCCAAGACGATGATTAGCGACCGACACAAGCTTAGGACAAATATAGGGAAAAGGGCAAATATAATGTCTTAAGCCATCATTTACTTTCATGCAAAGTTGCTTACACCACTGTCTAATATAGTATATTAGTATACTATAGTATACTGTCATATTAATTGTATACTCAACTGCAAAACGTTCACATTGAGTATAAGTTACACTTTCTCATCCATAACTGCACTCAATTCATATCAGAAAAAGCCCTTACAGACGATAAGTAATTTACCAATAAAGTCTACCCTCGTCTAGCAGATTAACTACTTTAATCATTTAGTTCACTCGTTTACCACAATTGTTAATGGTAAAGTAATTATGTATCATGTGGATTTTAATTCCAGTTTGACCTTCTAACGGTAGAACTAAGAAAATAAACAATGCATGTGTTCTCAATTGATGTGATTATGATCATGGATTACCTATAAGCAGTCCTTCACTATGTAGTTTATTATAGCTCATATATTTTCAGACAAATGTATCCAATCATCTGGAGATTGATATAACCCTCCACCCTCCAATGTGTAAGCTATTGTACCCACCTTTACGTTTTGCCTTGTTGTTGTGTGTGAGAGAGCGGAGGGAGAGATATGGAAACTTAAAAGGGTCACTACAATAATTGGATCAGCACTAAGGATTACGACTTCAAACACACACACATACACATACACGCACACACAGGCAGAATCAAACAGCTGAGGTTCAACTCCGCGATAGTACAACTTGGTGTGTACACACACAGAGACACACTCTCAATGTTTGCTGATGATGCAAAAATTATGAGGAGGATTGAAACAGAGGAGGATAGTAGGAGGCTACAAGATGACCTAGACAAACTGAGTGAATGGTCCAAAGGAACATGTTATTATATTTTGCTTAAATTTCACGGAAAGAAGGGGATGCATCATGGAGGAGGACCCCGCCCTCAGGTCTCCGTGTTGGTCAGTCATATAAAGCCCGGAGCTCCTGGACGGACACCAGTTGAGCTCACACCTCTACAAGCGACACAGCCATGAAGGTATACTTGTCTGTGTAACATAACTGTTGAATCACGCCATCGCCAGTGACTCGTGACAATGGCGAGAATCGTAGTCCCACCGCTCTTGAGCAAACCAGAGTTAGAACTATATTTAGTTTATGAGCGTTATAGAATTTTGTTAAGATTAAAATGCACCTCTCAGCTCACTGATTCTTTCTTAACTTAAACTTATGATACGTAATTAATAATTTAAATTCGGTTTATATTATACACTAATTTGCATCATTAGTTCAATGCGCTAAAACCTCCTATATCGCTATGTGAAAATTATATAGTTATATTTATATAACTGGTTATATAAGGAAATTTTTATGTCCAAATTAACATTGTAACTCACATGACGCTGCTGTTGTTCCTCAGACAATAATTCTGGTAGCGGCGGTGATCATGGCCGTGTCGGCAAGACCAGAGGGCGGATATGGCGGACAGGGGACTGGCGGACCAGGGTCTGGCGGACCAGTATCTGGTGGACAGGGGTCTGGCGGCCTCGGGTCTGGCGGATTGGGATCTGGGGGACAAGGCACCAGCGGCCTAGGAGTTGGGGGACCAGGGATTCAGGCTCGGTATGTGCCCGCAACATCTGGAGGACAGGGAGGCCAGTACGGCTCCTCCCCCGCCAGCTACAACTTCCAGTGGGACGTCAACGACCAGCCATCAGGCAACTTCTATGGTCACGGAGAGCAGAGGGACGGAGACAACACCCAGGGCAGTTATTATGTCCAGCTGCCTGACAGTCGTCAACTGAAGGTTGAATACTTCGTTGATCAGTTCGGTTACCACCCCACCGTCACCTTCGAGGGCGATGCCCAGTACCCCAGCGGTTCCGGTCAAGGTACCGGGTCACAGAAGGGCTACTACCAGTAGCAGACCTCCACAGACCCTCAGCTGCTCTGATAAGACCGGCAGGCCCGGGTCTCAACACGGCTATCATCAGTGACCAGCTTATCACACCTCTCAGTTGCTGCTTCAGATTTCAGCTCAAGTGAGACACTTCTCGAGACCCCGAGACGCCTGCGACCTCGACATTATGTCTCCCTACGCTTTTGTTTTTCATTTATCTGTTACTTTGTGCTTAAGGTTTTTAAATAATATAAAATAAAGCAAAAAAATCCAGGATTTCTGCTTATTTATTTACATTATATAAATATTTGAGGTTTTAAAAATTGTAAATCATAATACAAATTACGAACACTGGTTTATTTTGGGACAAATGAAGAGCAGAAGAAAAAGAAGAAAGTAGAAGAAGCAAGACAATGTTTTCGATTTACCCCAAATGTACTAATTGCACCAATTGAAAATTTGATTTGTTTTTGCCATCTTGTTGGTAGAATAAACATAACAATAATGGAATTTAAAAAGAACTGAGTACTGCCAATAAACTCTTAAAAACGATTAAAAATCTTGCACAAAGAAAAATCAAAATAATGTGTTGAATCGATAAATAACTTTGAGGGTGTTTCATGGAATCGAACCTCCGTGCCTAATCATGCCAGACACACGCAGTATTTTAGTCCTAACAAGTCGATGCTGTGTGTTTCTAAGTATCAGTTGCTCGGGTTGGAGTCCATTGCATAACCTCAATATTTATTTAATTAAGAAATCTTTATTATTATTGTTTATATAAAAGTCGATAATTTTAACACTTGGCACCTGTGATACCATTACACCCGAGAATATTTGATCGTGAAGAATGATTATTAGACCAATTTAGTATTGGCTGTAGTTATCAACACACACATTTTTGTTTTTCGTTAGAACAAAGGAAAACGTAATACCGGCTTAAACTTACAAGGTTACAGGTAATTCAAGTGGCAAATCCACACATTGGAACGCAAATTAAATGAATGTAAAATTTATATATTCAAGGTCTAATAAAAATTATTTTGCTAATTATTTTTTTTATTTTTTTTTCATTTTAAATTTTACTAAATAATCTCTTACAATTGTTTTATTCGTAATATTTTCATAATTGAGCATAGAGTCAAACACTCTTCCCAATTAATTGATCTAAAGAATGAGATTATTGGTGTGGTTTTCACAATATAGTTTTCCACACCCTGAGCACCTTGCCACACATTTGGTGTCCTGCTTCGGTTGTTTTGTTTCATTTGCAATGCCAAGTTGTCAAGCTGAAGTTGCAATGTTTCAGTTGTCAAGTTTAGCTGTCACACACCAGTTGGAAATTTCCCTTGTAACGCTTCTGTTAACAAACTTCTGTAACAGAACAATAATGAAGATTTTTCGTAATTAAAGGTAACTTCGAATTCAGATATTGTGATCATATAATTAAGTAAATAGCTCTCGCAAGGTGGTTGACGGTGGCGATTTTATGACCACTGATTCATCTTTGCGTTTCTACACCTATGTACCCTTGAAATAATTCTGGGTAGTTCTTTAGATAAATACACAAGGATCTATTTGTCACCTGAAAGCGGACGATTTCTGTCTTTGCTCTTGATACTGGTTAAATGAGAAAAATTAGGCAATGACTCAAACGTGCAGTTGAATGAATATGATTAAAATTCTTGCCCGAAACGCTGTGTGTATGAATGGCTATAGGTATAGTATGTACTAGCTTTATCAAGAAATCCAACATTATGTTTATAACTCCTTTTGAATGTATATACGTTTTCCTGCATACACATTATTATTATCATTATTATTATAATGATAATAATATGCCTTCGACACATCTTGGACATCACCTGGCAGGACAAGGTGACAAACAACAACGTCTTGGGGAGAGCAAGAATCACCAGCATGTACACAATGCTGAAACAGAGACGAATGCGCTGGCTCGGGCACGTTGTGCGAATGGGCGACGGCAGGATCCCCAAGGATCTCCTGTATGGAGAGCTGAGGCAGGGAAAGCGTCCAGTAGGCAAGCCCCAGCTACGGTACAAAGACGTATGCAAAAGGGACCTGAAAGCCATGGACGTCGATCTTGCTATATGGGAGACACTGGCTACAGACCGTTCAGCCTGGAGGCAGTCTGTTCAACGAGGTCTCTCCAAGTTCGAGGAGTCACTTGCCAAGGAATCGGAGGCAAAGAGACAGAGAAGGAAAGCCGGTAACCAGGAAGACAGACCAGAATCGGACTTCGTTTGTGCTCGGTGTGGGATGGACTGCCACTCTCGGATTGGCCTCATCAGTCACACCAGACGCTGCACCAGGATTGACAACTAGGGCGCAACTCCATAGTCTCCCGAGACTGAAGGATGCCTACTATTATTATAATTATTATTATAGTCTATTTATCACTATTTTATGCAGAACCCCCAGTTACCTTGGGGTTCTCCATAACACCGGTTGAGAAATGGTGCTTTCTCAACCGGTGATGAGTTTACTGTTTCTCACTAGTGTCAAGCCATCAGATCATTGACATATATCCCTCTACACCTTGGTCTGCATGGTGTAGCATTAGATCAGACTCTAGTGTTTTTTGAAGTTTAAATATTTGAAATTCATATTAAGATGAGCTTCACTATACTCTCTGATATTATTCGTGCCCAGGAAAAGTATTGAATATTCTGAAAGGAATGAAATACTTCAATACCATGTATCTGTTATTATTACCTCAGTAGTAAAACTTTATACAGTATATAAAATGTGAATTTTCTCATAAGCTGCATATTTCTGTTCCTAAAGCTCGTACTTAATTTTCCACGCTCCATAACCCATGGCTAGTATGAGCCACACTCCACAACCCATGGCTAGTATGAGCCACGCTCCACAACCCATGGCTAGTATGAGCCACGCTCCACAACCCATGGCTAGTATGAGCCACACTCCACAACCCATGGCTAGTATGAGCCACACTCCACAACCCATGGCTAGTATGAGCCACGCTCCACAACCCATGGCTAGTATGAGCCACGCTCCACAACCCATGGCTAGTATGAGCCACGCTCCACAACCCATGGCTAGTATGAGCCACGCTCCACAACCCATGGCTAGTATGAGCCACGCTCCACAACCCATCGCTAGTATGAGCCACCCTCCACAACCCATGGCTAGTATGAGCCACACTCCACAACCCATGGCTAGTATGAGCCACGCTCCACAACCCATGGCTAATATGAGCCACGCTCCACAACCCATGGCTAGTATGAGCCACGCTCCATAACCCATGGCTAGTATGAGCCACGCTCCACAACCCATGGCTAGTATGAGCCACGCTCCACAACCCATGGCTAGTATGAGCCACGCTCCACAACCCATGGCTAGTATGAGCCACACTCCACAACCCATGGCTAGTATGAGCCACACTCCACAACCCATGGCTAGTATGAGCCACGCTCCACAACCCATGGCTAGTATGAGCCACTCTCCACAACCCATGGCTAGTATGAGCCACGCTCCACAACCCATGGCTAGTATGAGCCACGCTCCACAACCCATGGCTAGTATGAGCCACGCTCCACAACCCATGGCTAGTATGAGCCACACTCCACAACCCATGGCTAGTATGAGCCACACTCCACAACCCATGGCTAGTATGAGCCACGCTCCACAACCCATGGCTAGTATGAGCCACACTCCACAACCCATGGCTAGTATGAGCCACGCTCCACAACCCATGGTGTGGGAACCGACCTGTGAGATTTATATTTATTTAATTATATGAATTTATATTTACGTTAATTTATATACTTCGATAGCAATTTGTATAATGATAAGTGGACTGTATTTCTGCAATAATCTCATAATCTCACAAATCGATCCTCTACACATTAGGGGGGGTTTATATTACACATATGCAGCCAATCAAATTACAGTAATAGCTACATACATTGATGAGGTTCCTTCTCTTATAGTACAGCAGGTTAGTCCACCAGGTATAACTAGAGTGTAGACACCAAATTATCCTCTTTGAGGTAGCTTCCATATCACCCAGTAACTGGTGCACATAATCTTGCATCCTCGTCTTGACCTGTCAAAAGTGCGCTAGCTGTGAAGCCAGAATCCTATATATGACAAGCTATATCAGAGAAAACACTATACAGTACATGGAACATTAAAGACCTGGCTTAATTACCTTTAGTATGAGGCGATTTCGCGTTCTAACCGGCTAACCCTATATCCTGACATTAATGGCCATAAATGAATGATAAACGGGTTTCGGATAGACACTTAACTTGTATTTGTAGACAGCGTGTTGACAATGGTACACCTTTGGGTTCCATAACACTACGTCCAAGTAAATTTAACAGGAGCCGAATTTGCTCCCGTGTGAGCCTCTGGTCTCAATAAACAATGGCTGTTTAACACTCCATTCTATTGACGTTACTGGCCGACATTGTCCAGAATGATAGGAGCCGTTTGCTCCACACGTCTCGGAGGTGACACAACAATGGCCGCCTCCTTCCCCACTCTGACGCCTGGCCTACTTTGTCCAGATTTCAGAAAGTGATAGAAGGGTCACATTTACTCTACTTTAATATTGATAATTAAGTTAATTTATATAAGATGTTTTTATGATGGTAAAGTCCAAAGACTAATGTATTTAAGAATAATTCCCACCATAATAGGTGGTGAATTATAATAGTGTGTGGTGATGATATCCCGTTTTCTATAGACGGTAATTCCACTACAAGTTACGTTTTCTATGGTTAACTTGTTGGTAATACAGCAGCTATTATCTGTATGATTATTAAATGGTGTCGGATTTTCCGACATAATTCCCCAGGGGGCTGCTCACGGGTCGAAGTCCTATTTAGAACAGACGAACACCGATACTCCTCCTTCGAATTATTAGATTAATTTGATGTTAGTAGTTAGTAATCACACATTTATGTGTCTGTTCGTACAGGACGGATGTCCCGTACTAGAGTTGCAGGGGTTAGAAGTCTAATGCGATTTCATTTCCCTGTCAACTCTTGAAAGGCTAATATTCAAGCCTTATTACATATTATTTAACCCAGAAGACTGGATG